CGCCACGAGCGAACGGGTCTGCAAACTGAGGCTGGATAGCCTCGGCGAATTATACGTCTCGCGGTAGAGTCTAGTGGGGTTACAGCAATGCCAGAGCTCCTGGGTAGTTGGTCCAGAAGCACCTTCAAGCATTTCCATGACAATGTGTGTCCCAGCATGGTGTAGTCATGGCGAACATACTGGGGGTTTCCCAAAATTAGGGGTACCTTTTTGCTTGTCCATAAAATGAGACTTAAAACATGTTGGGTCTCTACTAGGGTCCGCCTATTTTGGGAAACTACCACTCTGGATGGAAGAACGCTGGTATCGTAATGTGCACATTTCACAACAGACGGGCCTGGCTCTCATCAGGGTCCGGGTCTTACATGGTATCACGTGTTTGAACGAACAGTACCATTTGCACCTCACTTGCTACTATGTGAACATGAGAGAATCACAGTTGCCATCCTCAAATCCACGTCCCCTACAACCGCTACCGCTCCTGTTATTATCTCGAACTCTTACCAGTAGCACGAGCATCATCGCAATCAAGCTCTTATTGTATTACGTAATCCCCGCCCCGCAGGCACGCTTGCGATGCTCGGAGCTCCAGGCATACACTTTCCCCTGTCGGTTGCCTTCGAGCTGGGTTGCATTGGGCATTGTCAACGGAGCGCTCGCCCGTTGTTCGCTTCATACTGTTATGGGGGAGTGCATCAGGATTCTGGCAAGCACCTGTAACCCATCAAGCAGTTTCTATAGCAACTTCACGGTTGGATGCTTACAACTCGACTCCATTTCTGGGGCTTCCACGAGCAACCAGCCCAAGTCTGCCATGAAAGAGTTCCTACCTGGATGCTGCACACAGCCTCTTGCGCTGCGTCCATGGCAGGTAGTAGCAGGAAATCTTCCATCCAATTTCCTAAGTTGTAGCCTGGCGCAGTTGTGCTCCCTCTCTCTGTCAGCACTGGTCCAACCAGGTCTTGCTGTCAAATCCTTGCAAGGGGATCAAACCTTGACTGGCACATGTGCTGCATGATTCGTTTGAGTCTTCCCAAGACATTTGGCGCGCTGAGTCGAGCTTAATCTTGTCTTCAGTTTGTAAATTGGGTGACCTTCTGACAGGCAGCTAGCCTTTGACAGCCTCAGGTTAGATTCCTTAGATTGGACAGCGTAGAACTGGCTGCGTTAAAGTGGAACGCATTTGTTCGCAGTTGAGAGATCCCTGCTCCCAAACCTGTGCCATCGTTGGGTTTCCCGTGCAAGCGTTTGGCTAAACAGAAGAGCGCTGATCCCGCCTTGCAGCCAAACACTTGGCCATGGAGCAGCTGCCAAGGGAAGCGAACCATCAGATGCAAGGGCAGCCTGCCTAAGCATTGAATGAGCTATAGTCTGAACTCCTTAAAGGAGAGTCATCTGGGGGATTATTTAGGAGTGATTCAGGGGAATACTAGGAGTTTAGACTATAGCTCAAATGACCTAAGACAATTCCATTCAGCTCCGCTGAAGCCTTGTGGTCGCCTCGCAGGCCTGAGTGGTGGTCTCGCTTCCGCAGCCAGCATGGCAAAGGTTACATCCTGCAGGCTGGGGTGCTGCCATGAACCATAATCCAGGTACTAGAGGCTAAACTCCTTGAGGGGGGTTGTATAGGAGCTTATTATATAGTTAGACCAGTATAGGGATTATGCAGGGTGGGTCCCATTCCACAATGCTCCCAAACCCAGGCAAGGTTCGTTCGTTCTCTGTTTGTGTTCAGTGTGGCTCCGCCCCTGGCACCTGTACCCCCTGCTAGCCCACTTGCAGGCTGCCAAGCTGATGGGCAGTGAGGTCCTCGGCCTGTCCGACATGGTTCTCAAGGATAGAGAGAAGCAGCTTGGCTTCATTCTTCTCCGCGGATTTCCGCTGATTGGCGCCATCACTGCTGATGGTTCTTTCTCTGAAGCTTGATTTTCCAAATTCCACCACAAGTGCAGGGGATTTAAGCCGCGCTGCGAATTCACTGTGACGAGCATCGACACGGCAATGGTGGAGGGCGTGGTTCTGCGCGGCAGTCTGCTACTTCCCAAAGGCGCGATCCGGGTGCGGACACGGCCTTCTTGGTAGGGCGTGACAGCTTCTTCAGTTGAATGTGAATTGCTCTTGAGAAGGTCTGGAAGGACCCTTCCCCTCTGTTCTGATGCGAACACCGTATGGGCGCAAGACCGAGATGGGCCAAAGTTTCCCAGCAGCTATGGTAGCCTGAGGTGTCAAACTCAGATTGGTAAGAAGCTGGAGGCCACAGTATGGATGCTTTACCCAGGTTTTTTGGCGAGACAGGGCTATGCCGTGCTCGTCCAAGACACCCGCGGGCGATTCTCGAGCAGCGGAGAGTTCGTTCCCGTTCAGCACGCTGCCTGGCTGATCCTGGCTGTTCTTCAGCGCTGGTTGATTGGAGTTAGGTTCTGGTTGGGCGGTGCACTTTGAAACCTCAGCTCAGTTCTACTTGCAGGAGCAGATGGATGGAGCTGCCACGGTGGCGTGGATGCGCCAGCAACCATGGTGCAACGGCAAGGTCGGTGCTACAGGCCTAGTGTCTATTCAAGCGCGTTGCAGAGATGCTGGTCCTCACTTATCGACCCTTAACTCTTCAGGTGGCAGCTACCTCGGCTTTACAGCGTGGGCTTGTGTGGACGGGTTTCACCTGGATGCAATTGAGCCTTAGCAGCGCTTGTTGGCCCTGGGTTTTAAATCTAAGAAGACCGCGCATGCCCTGTGCACCGGAAAAGCTTGGAGTGTGCTAGTGGCTTCTCTGCAGTAAGGTCCCGAGATATCGTTGAACAATCCCTGGCTGTAGAATCCTCCAGGTATTCAACCTCCTCACTTCAGGAAGCCCCCTCCAGTCAGTCTGGAGACTCCCTGCCCAGAACTTCCACAATCTCCTTTTGGTTCAGTTCCTGCTTTCACAACTATAGTGCGCTGCCAAGCTAGGCGCCCAAACCGCAGAGGTATTGCGTTGTTTGGAAACTTGTAACGCATTCCCCGCAAGAGGCTGGGCTCGATGGGCTCGTGATTCTAGTGAACATACTGAACATCAGGTCCCCATCATCACCCAGAGCAACATCAGAAGCGCGGTCTTCCGCCCCGGCGGGGCCGTCAGCTTTGAGCTGGTGGTGCTGTGGTTCTATCTCGTGCTGCACCTCATGAAGGACGAGAAGTAGCCATCAGGTAGTGCAGCATACGTGTCACCACGGGAGTAGTTCACATAGTATCACTTGTTTGCTGCTAGCGTCCCTCAGTTGTCCCACTCTCCACAGATGTGTGCTCCGCTGGCCCTAGTGTCCGCTGATGTCCAGGATTTACACGAAGACCCACTTTCTCTACCGAAGAAGCTTTGGAACGGGATGCGCGAGAGGAAGCTGCGCAGGGCTTTCAAGTCCTTGCCACTTGGTGTTCTGGCGGCAAGAGATTCAAGAATCACCCTTTTACCTCTAACATGGTTCTCCAGAGAAAGTAAGTAAGGTGCTGGGGCGAGAGTTTCTAGAGCCTGTTGCAGTGCAAGGGCCCATCTGAATATGATCTGGATATGGTCCCCTTGCTACTCTCCCATAGTCATGGCCAGCTGCAGGAGAATTTTTGCATCAAGCCAGAAGATGTATGGGAGTCGTTTTTTCGGAGTGGTTCGCATACAAAAAAAGGCTGAAGCCCAGAAGACAATCCAGAATTTCAGAGGAGTCAATGAATCGATCAGGCCCACATAATCTTCCGTCCGTATACAGATGTTCTTTGTCGGTTGAAACCACCAAGGTCATTTGCGCATAGCCCTCCAAATCCATCTTCCCGCTTTTGCTAAGCATAGCATTGTCGGTTTGGGTGAGGTAAAGTGGACGAGATCATTCTCGGCTCCCAGAATGCCTTCCTGCAGGATGGGCTCAGTCCCTGGACTAGCGCTGGCTGAGCGGTAATCAGAGATCCCCTGTGCGATTGTGTAGCTGTACCCATGGATGAAGGTTTAAGGCCCAGAGCAGATCAGCAATCTGTGCTTCAAAGTAACGACATGCAATTTGACAGCAGCAGGATGCTAACTGGAGCAGTAATAATAATACTGATGCGCCAAAGAACAACAGCTTGGATTGGTGTCGAGTATGGTGTTAGGATGCCTCAGGGTTGTTCGTATGTTGCGGAAACCATCATCATCCTTCTCAAGCTTCTCCGGACAAAGCCCAGGTGCTCATGGAAACGAAGCAAGCCGCTTCTGGGAGGGGAAGGAGATCAGGGATTCTCAAAAACCATAAAACTCATCACTTTTCAGATGTTCTGGGCCCCTCACACTCGAATATCACATGTTCATTTACAGGGTCCGCATGGGATTTCGGCGCGTCAGCACTTTGGCGAGCTATGTGCTGCTCTTATACTCCCAATTCTTCCCAATTCTTGCAGGCATGGATCCCAAAGGAGGAAGTGGCAATGACGCAGGGGGTGCTTTGGTCTTCCTGTAGGTCTTGTACCAGTATACCCCTTCGTGCGGACCCATCCCATACTCCTTGCCCATGACCCCTAGCAATCCCCTGGTACGCTGTGAGTCTCAAGCGGTCCCTCAGGACAAGCTCTGCAGCTTTGAACGCCCGATCCCGCCTTGCCATATCCTCACTGGCCCCATGGCTGAAGCTGTCTATGAAGAGTAGCAACAAGCACACGCCCAACAGCAAGAACCTGGTCAATCAGTACTGGCTTTCTGTCGCGCCGATTGCCAAGAAGAAAGTGGTAACTCTCGGCTACTTATGAAATCTGCAGCTTGCAAGAGCCAAGGATGGTATGACTTTTTCCTGGAGGGGGCCCTGGAGGACTTTGCCAAAGCGCAAAGCAAAGGAAACCAGGCGAGTCCTTGCCAAAGCCAGCCAGCAAACATCAGCCTCGCTGAGCACAGGTTGAGTTTGAGCAGCTTCCTACCTGTCAGAGAGGGAGGTAGTCCCAGGGTTTTCAAACATGCCGAGTTTCTGTTTGAGAGGCCAGCCTGACCATTGCACCGATCCACCACTGGAGCCTCCTTGGCTTCCGAGCCGCGGCAAATTCACGGCTTTCATAGCTTCTGGATCGGCGTTGTGTTCACGCCTTTGTTGCGAGCTCCTTGAACACTGGAGGCCCTGCCTGCATCTCAAATACCGTCCCATCCTCAGAAGCCTTCAACTCAGGAAACGTCTACGAGAGGGTTCTGCTCAGCACTTTCGATGCCCACCTCAAGCTGCAAGAGAGGCTGCGAGCTTAGACATTCCACGGCAGTGGATGGCTTTCGATCCAACGTCGAGCAAGGCAGTTGAGCCCAGCCGCGGCCTCGGGGCCCGGGGACTTGACGGCGCTGGTCCACTTGTACATACTGGGCACCTGGGCCTGCAGAATTAGGATGAGTTGCGGTTCTTGTTGTCACGTTCATCCTTACTCCTCAGCGGCTTTTGCTGCTGTTGATAATCTTCCTGTTTTGCCTTTTGAAGGCATGGGCTGGCGCCACTACCAGACCTACCCTCCACCGGCACTCAGCACCGTTTGGCGGCTTGGCGCGGCATTTGAACTCGCGCGCCAGCCAGAGGCTGGGCGTATTTTACTGAAAAGCAGCTCATATGCAAACATGTTGAATCAGATTTGAGAAAGCATGCTTTCTCCAAGAGCCGTTCCGACGAACCTTGGAAAGAGGCTGGCGAAGACCACGCAGACTTGGGGCATAGACACCTGGCACAGACTTGGCGGCTCAAAAGAGTTAACTACAACCAAAGCAGTTTCCAAAGACTGGCTTGTTTGTGTCACGGGTAAATGGCCCTGTTTTCGCAAGCTCCCTCTTGCCAATTGGGGCGCATATGCAAGATCCAGCTTTGGGCTGTTGGAATGGCTTTGCTCACTGAGGCTACCTGTACGACCCAGCCAGGCCCACCCCAGCTGCGGGTGGGCCCTCCTTCAACCCAATGAACGCCGGAGCTCGGGATCAAGCAAAGATTGAGGCCAGCGATGCTTTGGTGCAGCGGGCCATTCAACGGATAGGTAAGCAAGCATCCTGCAAAAAGCCCATGCGCAAGGCAGGTTAAGGCCTTTTGCAATAGAGATCTTGCGCCGATGGGATTTAACAAGCCTTCGATGAGGGCGAGCAATGCATATCTCTTGTAAGTACACTGATCACGCAGGCGCGATCGGATGTACTGGTCTACACCAGTGAGCCGCTCGCATCGCCGCTTCTCATCGCAGGTCCGGTCCACTTGAAGTTGGAGGCCTGGAGGGCAGTTTGAATATTGAGAACGGGCTGGCTATTGGCAATGCCTGTTTTGAACTTTTGAACTTCCAGTTTACTGAAAACCATGGACTAGAAGCGCCCGAACCTCCGTGCTTCCAGGCTTCTTTGCTTCTGCTGCCCCATCCCCAAACTCAAAACCCGCAGCCGGCAGCTAGGCATGCCTGCAACTTTGCATGCATTGCGTAGATTAGCCAATAGTCTAAACTCATAGTATCCGCCTTCAGGTCCCCTCGATTATCCCTCTATATACCCCTTCGTAGGAGTTTAAGACTATAGCTCACATTCACTGTGATTCCTGGACCCCAGCCCTCTGCATGCAGCCGCAGGCTGCCTGGGAGACTGAGAAGGCTGACTTTTTGGGCCGCCTCTGCCATGTGGGTCTGGAGCCTTTGGCCGCAAGGGGTAATGTTAGGGTTATAGTGGGATAATGGAAAAGAAAATGGAAACTACTACTATAATGGGTTATATAGGGTATATATAGCGGTCATATATAGGGGCAATGGAAAAGAAAATGGAAACCATCGAACGGCTTTAGCGTGCTGGCCAGCCCGCAGTGCAAGGAGTCCTCCAGTTAAGTAGAATTAAGCATAAACCTCAGGAGGCTCAGAATCCCAATGCCCGGATGCGCTACGTAGAGTCTACCTGAGGTTCACGCTTTTGAGTGCAGATATGTTGGTAGATGGCACTTGGCAACAAGATTGCCATAAGGACGGCCGCTCAACAAACCTCTGCGAGGGCCTGACCAGCGTGACAGCCTGTGGCTCAGAACAGATGAACCCCGGAAACAGCATGAGCCCTCAGCGGCGGACTGCAGTGGCAGCAAACTGCAGGTGCAACCTGGAATGGCTGGCCGGCAGATCGAGGTGCAGATTTGGGATCCAGTGCATGCGGTGAGTTACATTTGCGCGTACGCACAGAAACTATCTCGCCTTGCTCCAGACGTTGCATCTGCATGAGGTGTCGCTGGGCCATACCGCCGCATTCTTTCGTCCAGGCGAGCGCGTGAGGTTGCAGACTCCTGGACAGCAGCAAGATCTTGCTAGACTCCATGCAATCTCAAGAAGAACAGTAGCTTTGGACTCTTGCTGCCAGCAGGGCTTGACACTACACAGTGAAGTCTTGCCATGACATTCTTTCTTACGGCCTGATTGCGTGTTTACTGTTCGCACTGGTGGATTGACCTGCTGCTTACTGCCAACGCTGAGGCTCTGTTCAGCTGCCCATCCGCGATGGTTTCGCAACCTTGGCACCTGCGAACGTTTGCATGAGGCACAATGTTTGATCATGGCCAGGGGACTGGTCACTTGACATGGCTTCAGTGACTCGATAGGGTCGATCTGTGCACTAGGCGAAGCGACTCGCTGCTGGACGAGTCGCTCGGCGCACACAGTAGTGGCACAGAAGCAGACCCTGCCACAGGGCATGGCCCCATTTGCGCAAATACGTCCGTCAGCTTGCCATCCAAGGTACGGCAGCTCGGCCAGCACTACATCTGCCACCACCGCTGCTGAAAAGCTTTCACCCAAGCATTTGCTGCCACCTGCTGGGATGCCAAGGCTGCTAGCAGGTTGGCTCACCCTGCCGGAAGAGACTCAGAGCCGGAGTCTTTGGGAGCCAAGCCCATTGGAGATGATGTCTGACGTTACTCCGCGGAAAATCTGGTCAGGATTTGTTTTCGTGTCTTGTGGTGAGATGGCATTGCTCAACCCGTTCTTGCAGCACCAGGATGTTTGGGTGCAGCCGGTGCAGGCACACTCTCGACTATGATGCTCGGACATTTGCTGGCAATAAGTGACAGGTGACAGAAGCCAAAGGACTCCACAGAACTTCAATTTGTCATTTCCCTTTGATGCTTTTGCTCTCGGATTGGATTGGCATGTTCTGTCTGGATTGAGTAGCTTGCGGATCATGTTCAAGTAATTACTCTCCAGGAGGTTGGCCTGGTTTCATGTGTCTTTCCTTTCATAGACAAGATTCTTGCAGAAGAGCCGCATGGACAAGAGCCCCAAGGCGGTTCGTCAGTCAGAAGCTTATGCTCCCGTCAAGATTACCTGAGAGCCAAGGAAGCAGCGCAAGTCGAGGATGTCGACTGAACTTGAAGCAAGGCTTACGAAGTGTTGCTGTCCTGGACTTGTCAAAGAAGCTCCAGGCACCGTCTTCCATGGCTGCACCCTTTGAATTGAGCAGCTTTATATTTATAGTCAAGCCCGGCACCTGTCCGGGTCAATGAGAGGGCATTGAGGCGAAAGCCTCCATAAACCACTCGCGTTTCCAGTTTCTAGAGAGAAAAGCTCTAGCCTGGGCTGCATTTGACTACATCAACCATTTTGTCCTGTGGGCGGTGCTCTGACGCTGGCTGCTCAAGTGGCCGTTGTTTTGCGCTACATGCCAGCTAGGGCCAGATGACACGCAGGCGCAGAATCCCGCAAACATGGCGTGGGGGCTCGTCCGGAGCTTATCCTGGCTTGCTGGGTGTTGTTTGGAAGCTTTTGATCACGTCGCTGGGGAAAGCTTAGATCCTTTAAACGACTCCCAGAAGCCACAGAAGCGGTGTGAACCTTGAGGCGAACCTTGATTGCCTGCACCAGCCGTGCACGGACAGCCCAGTGAACATGCTCACAGGGCTGCTGTGTCAGAATTTATTTGTCCGTGAATGAGCCGGCCTTTTTGTTGCCGTCTTCCATAGGATATGTTGGAAGGAGGCATCAGCAAGCTGCTCCATGGAGAAGATCGCAGACATGAATCCCCAGGCAAGGCAAGACGATCTTGCAACGGATGTGTCGGCGCGTTGCTACATGCTGTCCCTGCTTAGGCCTCCAACGCATATTCATGGGCATGCAGCATACATCCATGTCTCTTACTTTGCTTGTGCTGCCATTGTCATGCTTACCTTTCTTATCAGTATTCCGTGTGCGGCAACCTGCAACTTCGTCGGAAACTTGCTAGGGGCCAGCCAACATTGCACGGGCCTGGGTCATGGGCTCAGCTTGCTGCTCACCTGAGCTGATAGAGCGTATCTCTTCCACTCAACATGCGTTTATGCCACCATGTTTAACCAAAACGCCATCATATCCTGCTGCTGGCTGTCTGAACTGGTAGCCCTGAAGCAGGACGGCCTGGCTGGCCAGCTAGGATTAGACTGCCGACTGCTGGGCCGTTTGGGGTACTACTTCGGAATCCTTAGGAAGCGTGCCATAGCAAACAGATTCAATCAACAACTGCATGAGAATAGCTGTGTGCAGCACAGATCCGCCGCAACTTTCTTCTAGGCACGCCTGGTGTTGCTGAATCAGCCTCTGATGCAAGCAGCAGCAGAGCAGGCAGCCAGAGGCTCAGTTTGGCAAGAGTACGTGAAACAGAGATTGTGGTTTCCTGTTTGCATGCAAACGCTTATCATATGCGGGCTGTTCTGACACTGCATGGGAAGCAGCGCGTGTACTGCATGTGGAGTATCTGGGCAACAGCGTTGCAGCTGGTATCCACAAAGAGCGTAATGAACATGAGTCCGTGTGAGTCGTGAACATCAGTTGATCCGGGAGCGTGCCGATTTTCATGTCCATGTGACTCAAACTCGAGTGTGTTGCACATGTTCTGTTCACGCTGAACATGCTGCGTGCCATACAATGCTCTTGGCCTTCGAAACAGATTTTTGCCTTCTGCAGAATGTTGGCAGTGGCCAGCTGGTCGTACAGAGCAGGTTGTCAAGACACGATGAGTGCAGCTTCTGGTCCCATTTGCATGCCTCGAAGTGAGGAAGCAAAGATTGCTGAGTTCCAGAGCCTCGACCTCAGCTTTGCCCCCAACTCACC